ATTAATCTGGCCAACTAAATCTAATGGTCAAGCAAAAGTGTCTCAGAATTTTTATTAGCTCATTGAGTTGTACGCGTATAGTATCGAGTGGGTACTTAGAGAGAATCTGTAATACGTCACTAATGTAGTTGCAATCGTGACTTGGAAGTTTCCGCGCAGCGCGAGGTCTGTCTGTTTCGCATTACACTGCCAAGAAGCACGGTCCACGAGTTTCCGTTTTATACCCCGGTGAGCCCGCGCGATTATAAGGGACTCGGGAAGACAGGGCCGTCCTAAATTGCGCTCGAGTGTTCCGTAACTCCTCTCGACGTTGTGACGATATTCCCTCCAGATGTAGTCCACAAAACCCTGCGCGCCTCCGAGAGAAATCTCGCCGGTCCCGTGTAACCCAACGAGGCGCCACTGCCATATATACGTACGTAAGATAATTCTTATTAAAGAGAAGAAAGATGAGGGCTGAGAATTTTCGTATCGCGTGTTCTCATGCTCGCCGGTATACGTCGAAGAAAGCGGTGCACGCGATGAAACTTGCGATGCTATCATCGCCCGACTACCGCAAAAGAAACGTAAAGTATAACGGAACTGGTGAAGGAGATCATACAGCATAAAAGCTAATTACATGATTATTAAATTATCTACTTAACTGCCAGCTTTTAATTCTTAAGAAAGCCCACTTTTATTCTCAAGATTAGCTTTATCAATCGCGCGTGGAAGATCTATTCTTTTAGCTTGAAAAAAAAAGAAGGAATTATTTCGGCACAAAGGGTTCTGGTTCTCTTGTATGTGCCGTGAGCAACGGTGGCAGTCCATTGACAAACCGAGAAAGCAGAACGGTAGGATACCGGCCCTCGAGAAATGGTTTCGATCTTTCGGTCAGGGGCTCGCTTCGTCGTACGGAGGGAGGGATGAACGAATTGGACAAGAGGGGCAAAAAAGAGAACGAGGAAGGTTGCTCCGCTGCATGAGAGAAAATCGCGCGAAATAAAAGCATCCAATTTCCTGCGAATCGTCCGTCGGATTTCTCGGCGGACTTCCTCCTTGCTCTTCCTCTCGCCGCGGCGTCCGACCGGCGTGGCGCGAAAAGAAAGAGCACGAGGAGAGCCCGGGCTCATGCTTTTCACGGTCGGACACGAGATGCCAAATGCAGTCGGTGAAACGTGAAATGCTGAGGATCGCGAGGGTCGAGGGGATAGGGTGACTCGCGCCGCGTTGCTGAACGACGGCGGTGCCGGGCAGCGTCGACTTCCGTCTTTATTCTGACGCAACCTGGCATTTCAATTATTTATATCGCGCTATCAACAGCACAATGAAAATCTCCGCGGTCTCTCTCGTTTCTGCCTTTGTCCTCCGGCTTCTTACGAAGATTTCCCTTGTTTGTTTCTATCCTCTCTGAAGACTCGTGTAGAAACGCAAGCTGCTACATACAACGTTTTCAGATGTAAGATGGACACGGAGATAAACTCACTATTCAAATAATATTGAGAATTCTTTTAAAAAATTACCCGCTACGCGTCTTATCTAAAGGATTGTGAGAGAGTCATTGAGAATTCCAACGGCAATGAAGGTATAGTCGCTACGAGTAACCGTGTTTATTTCTTCCCCGAGTCTTTCTATAATAATACCAAGACAGTTCTATAATATTCGCACAATACGGACAAAGCATTGTACATCTCAAATAATAAAGACAACAGCTGCGGACCTGAATGCAAGAGCCGCAAACTCCCCGCTGGATTGCTGATGCGGCGTGACGTTCGCTTATTTGCATCGCATAATTGACAATACCGCTATTCGTCAGATATTCTCCGTTCCTTTGGTCTTCCCCGTCGGTCCTCGGTTTCACCCTCGCGTCTTTCGCGGCTGTAACGATCCCTGATATTCTTTATCCTCTGACGATACATTTCGCGCTCGCCTGTCTCTCCATGTTGCATGTCTAACGAGAATGAGAGAGAAAGAGAGCGCAAGCTTCTTACCGAATCGCACAGCGGATACGTGTCTCTGGGTGCGATTTAAAGTTTCGAGCTAGCGTGGAAAAAGAGCTGAGGTAGACTCGCGTAAGCCGCATCAAAAATGAATATCTTTCTTCCTGGAAACGGAAAAAGACGGGCCGAAAGTAACGAGCCCATCTTCCTAAGCCACGTGGCGCTTCAATTATTTATGACGTCTTGTTGATACCATCCTACACTAGTCAGTCACGCTTTTCATTGTTCTCTCCACTGCTCTCTACACTACTTATCGACTTATCCTCTTCTTCTTCCTTATTTTTGAAATCTTAAGTCGCGCCTGGATCTTTCTCCAACTTTTGTATCGAGGAGATGTACATTTCGCACAAAGTACACGAGAGTGTGTAATCTTACATATGAAATAATAATAGTAACAGTAAATTAAATCAACAGCAATAACGTTTCATATTTTGCAGTATCATAAAAATAATGCGCGACAGGGTCATATTTTATCCGTAAGCGAAGAGCAGCTATTTGAAAGTTCTTTATCTGAAAAGCGGTTCCTTATAAAAGATGCTACGAGCAACCAAGTTCGTATTCTCCGCGGAACGTTAACGGCATCGTAACTCGGATCAGAAGTTAGACCCGGCCGGATTACGAGGAGATGTATGTTCTCTCAGGCACCAATACAGATCGAAGAGGATCGCGCGACGATCGGATCCGCGACCCGTCGAAGCCTGCAAGCAATTAATTCATAAGCGTACGCTCGACACAATGGTTGAACTACGGTAGCACATATCCGTCTCTTCACGCAACAATGGCACGCGAGCATCCGTACGTTGCACGAATTGTATCAAGATTTGAATGAGCCAATACAGAGATAAAGGACCTGGTCCCCAGGAGGCCAAAGGTATTGCTATAGAGGATACACGTCTCCGCGATTGTCTCGTTGATATGTTAATTAACGTTATTGATGTTAAGCAAGACCGCCCCGAGCATCGAATATGGGGTATCTATTAATCCTGTCGAACCACGATGCAGAATCGAGGTTGCGTTAACCGACTTGCCTCGGCATTCAAATTGCATTATCCGACAAAATACATTATTGATATACACTGCAAATCTTTACGACTAATATCAGATTGCCGTGCAAAAGCAGCTGGATAATTAATTGAATTTTCAATTATCGCAAGTTGTTTGAGCGACGTCAGTAAATTACAATAATACCAGCCTGCGGATCTTTTTGCATTGATTATATAATGCTTTCTACCGACAGTTCACTGTTGTAGCATTGTGCGTTGCAACAATGTTATATAACATTAGATACACGTGCAATATACCCTTTTCGTAAGGATGCTTATCGACACCGCGCAACATTTTCTGGAATCTCGATAGATAATAATTAACCAAGCGTAGTACGGCGCATTTCACTCGGTTTCCCTCTTACGAAGGTGAGGCGAGACGGCAAGGCTGATTGAATCACCATGATTCCCTCGTTGCGTATTACCCATTGCGTAACCGTCTGATTCCATCCCGCTCACCCGCCCCTCATGGGGTTCTCTCATTTCGTCCCTATCCCGAGAATCCTAGTCGACGACGCCTCGGGAAAACGAATCCTTTGAAGTCGTCCGTAATCGAAGAAGTAATTTCAGCGCGACCCTCGTCGGCAATCGTTTTTCTCCGGCCGTATAGGGTCGCACGTCTGTCCCACGAAATGTTATTATCGGAAGCGCCCCGTCCTTGATAAAGACAATTAGTAGCGTAATTCACGCAACAACTTTGCGAGCGAATTGAATAGAATTGTGAAAAAATATGTATTTATGTGCATATGTAGCTTATATGCACATTATATTTCAAAGCGACGATCGACAGAGATACTGGATAGCTGTAAACAATTGTGTCTGAAAGAATTAATCACGGGTTAATTTTTCTAAAGACTTTAAAGAAATATACACCTTAACTATTTTTGAAAATTTCTAGTTTCTTTCTGGTAAATATTATAAAATATTTATAAAGAAGGAAATTAATATCAAATCTGTTTCTGAGCCAAACAAAATTTCAATATGTATTTCATGTTAATGAACATATTCATAGCAATTTTGACCGTCCGTTCGTTAAAAGTTACGCAACACAAGTTACCTGGTTGTAGCTGCATTTTTTTGCATTCGCTTAAAACATTGCTTAATTAGGGCGTAATGTTGGGGCAACCGGTCAATTTTATACTCGAATAAAGCGGATAAGTTCTCGCCAGTGAATGTATCTCGATGTATCTCGTCGCTTTTCTTCCCTGATCTCTTCCGTCTTTTCTCATATCGCGCGAGTCCCGTTAAAATTACTACCGACATTTTCCTCGGACGGAACCTAAATTCAATTTTACTTTACACAATCTAATTTAAGCAAAGCGAAACTCGTACTGTACGTGGCGAAACTTAGTTAACATTAAACTTTGCACATATTGGATTCAAAATACGATTCCTACCAAATTCAATCTGGAATAGCAAGTACAGGTCTTAACATCATGGAGAATAAAATCAAATTCGTAGCACGTATACCGAAGTTGAGCGTAGATGCCACTTTGTAAAGTAAACGATCTCAAAATGAAAGGCTTTCTCTTTCCTGTCTCCGCGAGAGGTCGAGAATTTCGCGGATTTCCGGGATCAACAAAACAAAATTTTAATACGCAATTGTAATAAATGCAAAGAAAGCCACAATGAATATGCGAGAAAAAAAGATTTGTATCCTGATGAAGGCGATGAACCTCGCAAGTAATTTGAATATTCCGGACTCGGAGATAAGAGCGGAAAATTCTTACCCGGCTTCGCAGTAAAATATGCATCTTTCCTAAAACTCCACGACATAAAATTTAACTCGCCGCAACGTTCGGTGAGGGAAATTCCACAGGGTTCGCGTTTGGGACGAGTTAACAATTTTACGTAGTGCTGCGGAACAGTCGGATCGAAAATTGCCGAAATTAATTAGCCAACGACAGGAAGGGGAGTATCAGCTCGTGCGCCCAGAGCCAATGGACAGCTACTGAGAGATCTCATCTTTTTGTTACAGGTGCGAGGGTGGCTGGCTTCAACTCGAGGGCAGTGCTCGCGTTTGCGGTCGGAACCAACGCTTCGACCGGCCGGTCGTTCTCTTTTCGGACAAGCCGATTGCGATTCTACATATGCAGTGAGTACAGTACCTTCATCGCTTTATTTCAGTCAGCGAACGGTTTTTGCGTTGCCACTTCGTTACGTTAAAAGCAATAAGTATGCCGCTCCCAGAGCGAACTGCCTCAATTACCATTAATTACTCTTTGCGTTACAAAGTATCTTAACGGAAGCATTTTCTACCTTAAAACGTATAAAAAATTGGGGATATTCAAAGCATCTCTAATAGTACTCTAATGTTTCAAATAACATAAACTGGAGCGATCTCAAGCAGATCTGTTTTCGCCAAGAACTGTAGATTATTTTCCTTCATCTTGCCGAGATTACGTAACAAATATTGTTGCACGGGACAAAGTTTTCTCGTCGGTTTCCGGAAATATGAGATTTCAGTAAGGACAATTGAATACATATCTATCTGTATTGTCGCCAAAAGGTTTCGCGGGCTCCTTCTTTTTCCACGTTTTATACGGGACAATTGTGTTCCAAATGAATAGCGAGTGCGTAAAGTCGATTTAATGTTACTGTGCGAGTTACCGTCGGTGCGCGTAGCACTATTGAGAAGACGAGGACGAACGGCAGAAGGATAGGTAGAATTCCAACGGCATTACGAAATAGGAACACGTCCTGAGCTAAGTGCTTCTTACTACCCCAAGCCGTTGCCATTCGAGTTACCCGAACGTGCACCAGTAACGCCCGTACATCGAATTTTACTCTTAAATACCATTAGGCACTGATATCCGAGAGATTGAATTTGCGCTCCTGAATCTCCGTATCCTCGCAAAAGTTTCTCTATAGGTATCGTAATAAATTGGACTGATTTCGATAACTTGGGAAGAGAGAGGGAGAGAGAGAGAGCAAAACTCGACGTGGCGCAGAGTATTTACACGATTCGCACCTTATAAGAAGCGATTTCCATTATCAAGTAGCCCTCTCTCGCTTTATCCGCCGTTTGTACTTGAACATCAGCTTCTGAGAAGAGTTTAATTTAAATGCAAATTGATTTACCTTTGATAAAGTGAAATGGGGTTTCCTCTGTTTACTGCGAAGGCGATAATTATTTTTTAAATTAACTTTCTTGACGGCGCGCTCGCCACGTAACCGTATTTAATTACGCTGAAACTACCGTAGAGAAGTAATAACGTGAAATTAATAGCTATTCATGGCCGATGTTACTCTGAAATGTTACGAGCATCAATGGAAATGGAATGCAAATTAATTATTACGTTTGATGAAATTACATCGATTTATTTATTTATTCATTTAATGGATGTAATTTTGTGAAAGACGTCAACATTTTATGATTTTATACGCGCGTCTGCAACATCGTAATTTGGGATTCATTTTTGAACCAATTATTACGTTTTCTCGTATTTATCACGCCGATAATCAAATATAATTGAAGTCACAGCAACAGGCAATTGATGCGAGCGATCCGTAAAATTTTCATCTGCCCCGCAGTCAGGGGTGAATTATTATGGCGGTCGTCTGAGAGCACTGAAAAATCTGAATAATTGATTGGTACATATTGTTGGGCCTCACGGGAGTCGGTAAATGGCGGAAAAGTTGCAAATTCGCCCGTAGGTAAATTCCCGCGCGGCTCTCCACGCGGCGCCTCCATTATTTATGTTTCTTAATTGGCGCGTCCAGAAAAAGCGAATTCCGTCGGACAACGAGAAGCTTCGTTACGAACTGCTCATTAAATATTTATGGCGAAATCAGCGTCTGCGCGTCGTCAGCTAAGGCCTGCGTATACATAAAACATCAGCAGTTTGCCACGCAACTCGTTTCTTTGATCGCGGCGCAAGATTTTCCGAAGATGTTTCCGCGACGGTTTTGACGATCCACTCAAACCTAGAGACGAGTCTAGGTAAACATTCAAATTCGCGGGTATCGCGCGAGAGCCACATTTGACAAACATCCTTTGAAATCCGCGGTTAACTTTATATGTTTTCGCTTTCTACCAAGCATACGCTGAAAATCGAGAGACTCGCAAGAGTAACGTGGCGTTAAATGTAATTCTGCTAGCCGTTCCTGAAAGTAATTTCATCGCCCAATATGATGTTCAATAAATTTGTGGGGAAATCGCACTTTGATTTCTATCGCAAATTGTTTCCATAAATTACATGCGAATGCAGCAACGTAGATAAGATAATAATTGTATCAAATAGCATTAAAGTACAACTCGATGAGCGTAAAATTGATAAAACGTGTATGCCAACGTAATTCGCGGTAAAACGTCGTTTTGCAAAGAGAAACAATTCTTTTCCAGAGCCAGCAAGAGTTAAAACTTTTTTCTCTTCATTTCACTCGTATAAAACATTAACATTCAATTAAGCTTACATTTGCCATACAATTATTAATAGTTTTTATTCTTGTAGAACATTTTTTATTGTATGGTAAAATTCGCGAGGATCACGTGAGACAGTTTGATCGGTTATATGATATTTGTTACATAATAGTAGAAAAATAAGAGAATAAGAGAGTACTTCTGACCCGGAAATGTCTTTCATGTTATTACTCGGCACTTTCTCAGCGAAGACTCCGAAACGCGGCTTGGTCGGTATGAAATTTATATAAGTTGGGAAGTTGAGTGTAATGTGGCAAACCCGTCGCACGCGACTGGCATAAATGTGTCAAGAAATGATTTATGGCGTTTAACTTCCACTCCCGACCGCGGCAACTTCTTATATGAAAATATCTAGGAAAACTTAACAACAAACGACAACCTATGATGCGCGATATTTATTCCAATAGGAGATTAAACGGGATGTGTCTGTACGTTGGTTGAGAAAAGAGGGAAAAACATTAGAATAACACTTTGTCGAATAAGTAGTTGTTTTCACTATCACAGATTTTTCAAGAAGGCGTAGAATAATTAGAAATAATAATAGTCGAGAATTATTTCGCAAACGAATTGGAGCGAAAAAGAAATGAGAGGAAATAAAATTTACACGGACGAATAAGCGCGCGCACAGTGATATAAAATGGCGCGGCAAATTTTTCATGAATTTTTGGCAAAAAAATTCCTAGCGCCGCTTAATTGGTTAAATTAACGAGCCGCGACAAAAATTCCGTCGGGTGGAATCTCGGAAGTACACAATGCACGCGAAACGTCGCATAATATTTTTCAACGTCGCCTGTAAAGTAACGACACGTATCCAGCCGAATTCGAGGCAATAATCGGATTCCCATGAAATTTCAACGCGCTCATTTCCATAACTACGTCCTTTTATGTCACCGTGAAACATTGAAATGGACTGAATTATTCAACCGATAATACGCGGCTCATACGCGGAATACGGACGGAAACTTTGTCTGTTATGTTTCAACATATTGCATAATGCACTTTAAACTACGGTCATTGTCCACGCAGGATATAAACCGTAATAAGGTCAATATATGATCTCGGTTTATCGCGCAATGGGGGTGTCTCGTACTTTCGTGAGGGAAGTACGAGAGATACTCGTTTGTCTCGCTTATATTTTTCTCTTACCAATATGTCAGATTTATTCAAAAATCCCTTTTTTCTGGAATGGAATATGAAACAAAAATAGCGAAATATGCAACAGAAATATTGCACAAAGTAACTATCCACGTTTGAACGTCCACAGTGCTAGTAAAGTTCCGTTTAATATGCATCACTAAAAAGTTTTTTCTAAAAGGATCGGCTGCAAATTTACGGATCACTGATTGCTTTTTTTGCTTTTCATCGTCAATTTCAACTTTTGAAATCGACAAACTTTTACGTGAATTGTTTATACGTCATTATAAACGCTTCAAAAACCTCTTGAGAATTTTTTTAAATGTCTACTTGTTACAAAATATGTTTATAATTACAAACAAAAGGGTGTGTTAACAAAGGTGAAGGATTTAATTTGAAGTATAAATTTATTAATTTTGTAATCGCACAATTCGCGATTAATGTGGAATATTCTTTCACAGATTAGATATTGTTTGCTCTTATATGTATATGTTACACATATGTATACATAAATTATATCTTGAAATTGCAGACAGGCATTGTTTAAGTCTGGCATTTCACCGAGACATATCTACCGCAGGTATTTTACCGAAATGTATCATGTACATTGAATTATTTGCAACTGCATATCGTATGTAAGTGCAATTACTCAATATTGTTAATTTTCTCACCGTATATTATTATAATAGAATTATAATACTTTATATGCGCGCAGAGAATCGATAAATTTATTATATGACCGAATTTGTGGTATTATTTTAAAATGCGAGAGATGGAAATTAAACTAGTGGAGCAAAATTCCCGCCGCAGTCATTTATCTTCTATTTGGGCATACTGTAATAATAAATCTGCAGAATTTGCCATCGAGGATTTGACAATTTCGCCAAACAACGCCCGTAGCAGCAGCAACGGTGCTGCGCAGTCGCACGCGAGCGGGTCGAAGTAAATTAAGCGTAGCTGACGACGAGATTTCCACTGAATTTTGGACAATTCTTGTCTCCATAGCATGGCAAGTTTACACCACCAAGTCTGGCGTACTACGTTTTGAGAGCGTATATTTGCATCCTCCCTGCAGTTTTCTCTCTCTCTCTCTCTCTCTCTCTCTCTC